TGGGATGGGATGGGATGGGATGGGATGGGATGGGATGGGATGGGATGCCCCTTTCAGCAGGTCAAGGACCCACCCCACCTTGTCCCCACTCACTCGAGGCTGGCCAGGCTGCTGTTGGACTGTAGTGCTTGTGCCAGGGCTGTGGCTGCTTTGGCTTGGATGAAGTTCCACTGCAAGCTGCGAACAGGAGAACTCAGGAGGTGAAGCCCAGGGCTGTGAGTGTTCCCTGATCCATCCAGGCCCCACAGCCATCTGCACCCACCCAGGGATGTGCAGGGCCCCCTGGGTCCATCCAGGATGTCACACCACACCCCCCAAGGAGGGCGACCTGGGGGTGCCACTGTCACAGCCTGGAGGGACTGAGAGCCAGGAGCAGTGTCCCACCCRTGTCCAAAGGGCTCCAAACCCAGGCAGGCCCAGGGGGACTCACTGGAGGGACGTGAGTGCCTGGTTCTCCTCGATGGCCAAAGCGATGGCTTTGCCCCCATCGTCRCACAGCAGGTTGGCTGCCAGGCTGGAGGGACAGAGCACTCGAGTCACACATGAGAGCTCTGGGGCAGCTCCAGGGACAGCACGCAGCAGCCCTGGTGTCCGTGGCACTTACTCCAGCTTCCTGAGGGTGCTGTTGCTCCGCAGGGCACGGGCGATGGCAGGGCCCCCCTCCGTGCTGATGGAGTTCTCCCGCAGGCTGGGGAAGGACACGGGGCTGGGTTGGGAGCAGCCAGGGCAGGGCTGGATCCCCCTGCGCCCCCTTCGCCCCTTGCTCTGGGGCTGAGGCCATCGACTGGGGACAGCAGTTAGTCTGAAGCCATCCCCATCAGCTCCTGCAGCAGCATTCCCTGTGTGTCCCGTGGGCACTGGTGGCCCATCAGGGCTTTTTCCCAGCCTCCCATCCCTGCTGCCATCCTTTCATTCCAAGGCATGGCTGAATACTGTCACAAGAGGAGAAAGGTAAGGATGAAAGAAGATCCTCACAGCTGGAGGAGGGACCAAAGCTGCTCTCAGCATCTAAGAGCACTTGTGGAAACAACCACRCACAAACCAAAGCTGCTGAAAAGCYCCCAGGTCTCAGCAGCAGCAGCTTTTGGCCAGGGTGGCTGGGGACTGTCACTTACTTGAGGCTGAGGAGTCCCCTGTTGGAGCAGAGAGCCGCTGTCAGGGCTGTGACCCCCGCGCTGCTGATGGAGTTGCTCTGGAGGCTGAGACAAACGGGGAACATGTGAGGATGACTCTTGGTATCACAGGGGGCTGCGGGGTCATGTGTGGGGTGGGAAGTGCCCATTTCACTGAGAAAAGGGTGACTCCCTCTCCCCAGTGAGAGCCAAGGCAGAAGGAGCAGCCCTGGGAGCAGCCAGGGCAGGGTCAGCAATTCCCACTGAGCCTCTGGGACAGCCTTGTCCCTCCCTGGCCGTCCCCGTGACTGCTGACTCAGCTGGCACATGGTTCCTGTGGGTTTGGGGTCCTTGTCACAGGGACAGAACCAGGGCACAGCCACTYGTCACCAGGAGCCATCAGCCCTCCTCCTGAGCTGCTGTTCCCATGGGCAATGAAGGTTGTACCATCCCACCCCTGACCCTGCCAGCCCCAGCCCATTATCTCCCTCCTCAGCCAATTCCCACCACTTTTGAGAGAGAGAAGACCCAAATCTTTCATTTCCTCCAAGCCAGAACACAAAGCCACCCCTGGGTTTTAGGATCGATTCTGTCAGTGCCCCTTGGTGAGGGCAGGGCCAGCCTGGCTGCTGCTGGAGCTGCCACACAGTGTTCCAGCCTGCATGTCCAGGGGATGTGGAGTGGGAGAGACTTGGGGAAGGGCTGAGGGGACTGAGGGATGGCAGATTTTGCTGGAGGAGGAGGGTGGGCTGTGCTGGTGMGCAGGAGTCCAGGCATGGAGAGGATCTTACTCAAGGCTTTGCAGGCTGTGGTTCACCCTCAGAGCTTCGGCCAAGGCAGTGGAGCCTCCATCTCCCACCGAGTTGCCAGAGAGCCTGAGACAGAAGAGGAAGCTTGGATCTGCCAGAGAGGGATTCACCTCCCCCGGGCCCTTCCTGCACCGACCGGCCACCACCTCMTTTACCCACGTACACCTCTGCCCGCCCTGCTGGCTGGAGCTGGAGCAGCTTTGAATGTTYCCCCGGGGCCTGGAGCACTGCTGCTTCCCCCTGCCAGAGGGGAGGCTTGGCTTCTCCTTCCTTTACTCCCTGCATCCCTGGAGGAGCAGAGAGTGTCTCCCCAGGGCTGCTCCCAAGGCAGTGCTGCAATCCCTGCTCTCCCCACCCACGCCAGCCCCTTGGGCAGAGCCAGCAGTGTCCCCCTGCCTGTCACAGGGACCTGTCCCCTTCCCTCCTGCCCACAGATYCCAGGAGATGTGGCTTTGGCACTGCCACCCCTCCACCTCACRCCCTGCTTACATCAGCTCCCTCAGGCTGCAGTTCTGCTTCAGTGCCTCCGCGATTTTCCGGGCGCCCTGGGCTCCGACGGCGTTTTTCTGCAGGCTGCAAAGGAAGGCACCTGTGAGTGACAGGTTCCACATCCCCATCGCTGGCACCTCGCTCTGCTGGRTGGCTGGAGAGGGGGACAGGTCCTGCTCACTCACTGCAGGGACACCAGCCTGTGGTTGGTCAGCAGCGCCTCGGCCAGGAAGGCGGCCCCGTCCTCCTTGATGGAGTTGTGCTGGAGGCTGCGGGAGACAGGAGTGAAGCTGTGCGTGGATGCTTCCACAGCAGGGCCAGGGGCTGTGCAGGGCTGCAGGGWGTGGCCACCTGCCCTGGGGTTTGCTTGCCCTTGTCATGTCCCCAAGCAGCCCCACCCAGGGATCTCCCTCCCTCCTCTGCCATTCCTTCTCCCATGAAATAGCACCATCGGAGCTCCCATACAAGGGATGGACTCAACCTGGACCTCAACCCCAGCCGGAGCCACGAAGCCAAGAAGCAGGAGAATCCCAACTCCCAGCTATCCAGGCCAGGGCTGCCCCAGTCTCTGGATCTCTGCCAGCTGCACTCACTCGTGCTCTCTGCCCAGCACAACCCACCCAGATTATCCATAGGGTCTCCCCTCGTTCTGGCCCTTGGAGCTTGGGGGAACCTTAGTGGGACGGAAAGGGGACAGAAGGGGGCTTGCCGTGGGGTACCACAGAATTGAAACTTACTTCAGGGAGAGCAAGATTTGATTTTTCTTCAGGGCATCAGCCAGGCCTTTGGCTCCAGCAGGGCCGATGGAGTTGCTCCTCAGGCTGGAGTGGGACAGGCAGGAAAGCCAATCTCAGCAAAGCCAGAGTGGCCAGATGCCTCCACTGGCACTGCKGAGCTGGGACATCAGGCCAGCAGCTCGTGGTTGTGGCTTTAGGGGCTGGAGACCCTCCCCAGCTCGGCCAGGCTGGGTGGGATCCAGCCCCACCAGGGGGAATGTGTGCAGGACAGGAGCTGCTCAAGGGGCAACACTTACTCCAGCACCATCAGGCTCCTGTTCACCAGCAGCGACCTGGCCAGAGCTTTGGCTCCCTTGTTGCTGATCTGATTTTCTGCCAGGCTGCCCAGAAAAAGGAAACTTGGATAYTTTTCCAGAGCAGAAAGAGACTTTCACAGCCCCTGGCATGTCCCAGGATGCAGCTGGGATGGGTGAGCAGAGAAAAGCCACGGGGAGTGTTTGGTTCACAGCACAACCAAAGTGGTGGCTGCTCTGTGGATGCACTGGGGTCTGCTCTCCTGGGGTGGACACCAGGCAGGGACTGCAGGGACACCATTTCTGGGCTTTTTGTGTCACACAAAGGGAGTTCAGATCACAGGATGGGTCACCCTGCAGCCTTGAGGAAGAGGAAGGAGGTGGGGAAAGTAGGAACCCATCTGTCTGGGATGAGGCATTCCCTCAGTGGGGGTCAGGAGCCTGTCCCCTCCATGCAGAGCCTAGAGTGTCCAGAGATCTGCTGTGACCTTAGGAAGTGATTTGTTTGGGATAATCCATGGATTTACAGACAYTATTTTAGGAAAAGGCAGCAGTTCCAGGAAGCCTGGGCTGTACAGCCAGCCAAGCCACCATGGGGACAGGGGGTGAGGTGACCATGTCTGGTCAGGGGATGGTGTGGGCTGTAATCAGTAGGCTCCCCTGGGGAGCCAGAGGGAGAGACCCTCACCCTGAAGGACCCTCCTCCTGGAGGACCCTCACCCTTGGGGACCCTCCCCCTGGCTTTGAGATGCCCCCAGCCCCACACTGCCTCCCCAGGACATTCCTTGTGCCCTGGGCCAGGTCCTACCTGAGCCTCTGGATCTGGCAGTCCTTCACACTCAGCACACTGCCCAGCAGCTCCATCACATCGTCCTTAAACTGGTTATTGTCCAGCCTGCAGGAGACACAACRACAGAGCAAGAGCAAGGGTTTGGASAACAAAGCAGAGAAGGGACACCRCTCCCRTGAGCTCTGCCTGTCCCAGGTGGAGAAACTCAAGGACAGAAGCAGAGCTGACCCAGTGCCACCGCCAGGACAGCTCCCTGCAGGGGGRCAACATTTGTGGGGCCAGGTATCAATAGAGAGTCACAGGGAAGAGATTGTGGCCCTCCAGGACTTAGAGGTGCTTTTCAACAGGGAATAGGTTTAGACTAAAAGAGGAGAGATTTAGATTAGGAGGTAGCAAGGAATTGTTCCCTGKGAGGGTGGGGAGGCCCTGGCACAGGGTGCCCAGAGAAGCTGTGGCTGCCCCTGGATCCCTGGCAGGGTCCAAGGCCAGGCTGCATGGGGCTTGGAGCAGCCTGGGACAGTGGAAGATGTCCCCATGGCAGGGGTGGGATGGGATGGGCTTTAAGGTCCCTTCCAACCCAAACCAATGCCTCATTCCACCAGTCACAGCTTGGCATCTCTGCTCTCTCCTCCCAGTGCAACCCGAGCAGCCTCACCTGAGGGTGTGGCAGAAGAGGAGCTGGGGGAGCAGGCTCTTACAGACACTGTAGCTGAGGCAGTTGGAGAGGTTTGTCTCCTCCAGGCAGACATCAGACACCTGCAGCAGATAGGCCAGGGCAGAGCAGTTGCTGGGGGTGAGCATCCCGGCCAGGCTCTCGCTCCTCATGGCCTCCTCCACGGCCTCGGCGATGTCGGTGTGCCGGATCTCGCTCAGGCAGTGCATGGCGTTGACGGCGCGCGAGGACACGGTGTGCTCGGCGCTCAGGCAGCCCTGCAGGACGCTGATGGCCGGGCCCCTGAACCCGCTGGCCTCATCCTTGGCCGGCAGCCACCCCGCCAGCAGCTTGCTGACCTGCGGGGCCAGCAGCCCCGAGAGGAAGCGGATGAAGATGTCCAGGTGCCTGTCCTCGGCCTGCAGCGCCCTGTGCACGGCGCTCCTGAARTGGCTGAGGAAGCCCAGCTTGGGCCAGGACACGCCGCTCTCCGCAAAGAGGTCGAAGATGGCCCGCTTGGCCGCCGTGTAGTAAAACAGAGCTGCCAGGAACTCCTGCACGGTCAGGTGGGGGAAGTAGTAGGCTGTGGAGGTCTGCGTRTCCTCCTTGAGCAGCAGGCGGGTGGAGAGGCTGCAGTGCAGCAGGGCCAGCTCGATGCCATGAGCCTTCATGTCCTGCTCGTAGAACACGTGTCTGCGGCGCAGCAGCCCGTAGAACGCCAGCCTGCCCACGCTGCCCACCAGCTTCTTGCTGCTGTTCACAGCCTGCTCCATCCTCAGGGCTTCTCTCGGCTTCTCCAGCCAGTCGCCACTCAGAGCCATTTTGAAATAATAGGAGTAGATTTCTGACAGGGTCCTGGGGACCACGGTTGCCTCCTGGGACTGATCAGTGCTGTTTTTCAGGTAATAAGCGATTGAGGAGCCGCAAATCCGGCAAAAGCCAGGAATGGTGCACAGGATGTGCAGTGACCTGTTAGCCCTGATGTGCTGCAGGACTTGGCTGGACAGGTCCCTGYTGTCCAGGAACATCTGATCCAAGAAGTCCTTCATCTCCACAGCCCCAAACCCTCGGATTTCTGTCATTCGGTCCACGAGCCCACCGGGGATCTGCCTGGCCGCCGCTGGCCGCGATGTGACCCACACGGCGGCCTCCTGCAGCAGGTTGCCCCGGATGATGTTGGTGATCAGGCTGTCCACCTGAATCTCCYTTTTGGGGTCTGTGCAAACCACTGCATTGGAGAAATCCAAGGGGGTTTTGAACTCGTCCAGGCCGTCGAGGATGAGCAGCGTGCGGGCGGCGCCGGCCGAGATGCAGCCGGGCTCGGTGATGTGAGGGAAGGCCAAGCAGATGAGGCGCTCGGCAGAGAGCTTCTCGTGGGTGTTGAGCTCCCGGAAGGTGAGGGGCAGCACCAGTGGGATGTCCCTGCCGATCTCCCCCTTGGCCCAGGTGCGCACAAACAGCTTCACCAGAGTGCTCTTGCCGATGCCGGCCACGCCGATGGTGACCGAGACCCGAGGGGGAATGCTGACTTTGGAGAGGGGCAGGAAGAGCTTCTCCAGGGGGATGCTCCTGGATGCGTTTGGCAGGCCCTTGGTGATTTCAACCTGCAGGATGTCGTGCTCCTGCTGCTGGGTGTCGGTCAGTCCTTCCACCAGCAGCAGGTTGGTGAGGCGCTGCAGGGCTCCTGCCTCCAGGCCATTCCCACAGCAGCGCTGGAGGCTCTCCAGGTGCTTCTGCACCATGGGATCTGCACAGAGAAATGGAACAGGGTGAGGAGGAGGAGGAGGGTAACCACAAAGCAAATGAGAGGAGCTGCTTCGCTTTCCTGCTGTGTCCATACAGAGGGAAAACTCATGGAGCCCTTACATCCCACTGGGAAGGTTCATGGCCAGGCTTAGAGGGCACTAATGGGCACAAATGGCCCTGACCGGCCTCACAATCAGTCCAGGAGCCCATTTCAGCTCAGCTCTGGGCCTTCAGCCTCAGCTTAAGTTGTGTTGTGGGAGGTAGACCTTGATCTTGGACTTCATTGCTCTGCCCTTGCCTGGTGGCCACTGGACTGTCTGAACCTGGTCACCCATGCTGGACCTGGTCCTGACAGCTGGACTGACTTCCCAGCTTGACCTCAGCCCTGGATTTGTCTGATGAGTTTGGACTCTTGGCTGATCCTGGTGGCCATCTCTGGACCTGTCCTGCTCACTGGCTCAGGTGAAYGAGCAAGGGATGGTGTGAGAGATTGGGAACAGACATCAGCCAAGGCTGGAGCCTTCCAGCCAGGAGGGAAACCAGGGAAACCTCTCCCGAGGGTTGCAAGGAGAGCCTGAAGTGGGGCAGCCACCAGTGGTTGGGGTCAGGGTCATGGTCAGCCGTCCTTTTCCTGTTCCCAGCCAGTGTTGGGACAGACTGGTGTGATCTGGACACTGAGGATATTAAAGACTCCTCAGGCTGCCCAGAGGGAGGTGCTGAGGGCAGTGAGGGGCTGCAGGAAGGTTTCTCACACTTAGCAGAGAGCCCTGGTCACCATGGCTGTGTTATCCTGGCAGAGTCCCTGAGGTGGCACCGACACTTGCACAGACACTGCCACCAGAGCTGCCACCACCCCGGCTCTGTGCCCATCTCGGGACATGTGCAGCCCCGAGACTGGGCTCCTCCCATGGACAGGGATGTGCAGGTAGAGCTGCCAGTTGGAGCTCTCCATGAAGCTCTGCAGGGACTGTGAGGCGTGGATGCCCTTGCCAGCCAGGACAGCCTCCAGGGCCCTCACCTGCTCGGGCAGGGGGCTCACTGCCCGTACCTGGGCAGTCTCCTCGGCCCTCAGGAGCTCCAGCCTGCACAGGTGGGAGATGATCTCCTCCAGGAACTGCCCAGAGATGGACCTCCCCAGCCACGTGTGGTACCAGTTGATCCAGGTCCCTGTGGGACAGCAGAGCAGGACAGRTGGGTCCTGGACCAGCCCTGGGCATGTTGCTGAGGGGTGACAGGGGACAGGCAGCAGTGGAGAATTCTCTCTGGTTCTGAAGGCAGCAGGGGTGAGCTGAGCCCTCGAGAGTGCCCTTCCCACACCCTCCTTGAGGGGATGCCATCCCAAAGCCCTGGCACGCGTTTTTTTTAGGAGCTGAGAGCTGAAATTGGGGTCAAAGAGTCTGAAGAACACAGCCATGAAATGGAGTTTCCTCCTGGAATCCAGGCTCCTGCAGGGAAATCTGAGCCTTTCTTTTCAGAGAGAACTGCTCCCTCTGTGCTGGCACAGCGCTCCCTTGGCCTGGGAGCCGCTCACACCTTGAATGCCCCACCCCATCCCATTTCTGCATCCAGCGCTGCCCTGAGGTGATGGAGCTGCCCAGCCACCACTCACCTTCCATCAGAGGCCTCCCGTGGCATGGGTGGTCCCTGGGCGAGGAGCGCTGAGGTGGCAGCAGYGTCCCATGGACCAGCCCGTGTGCCCCTGGCCAGCTCACAGCGGCTGCTCAGCCCGTGTCCATGACCCTGGGGGGAGAAGAGGAGCGGCATCAGGAGCAGCGTGGGAGGGAGCCCACCCTGAGCTGCCATGGTGCTGCCTGTGGCTGAGCCAAGGGTCCTYTGGCAGTTTTTGGCTGAGACAGAGTCCCCACCATCWCMGGCCTGGCAGRGGTACCGCTGGCACCATCACCCTGCAGCAGCTTTGCCCAGACCTCAAGTGCCACAAACCTGGTGCCTTCACCACCAGCACATGTGCCAGAACCTTTCTCAGGCACGGTGATGCATTAACTGCCCTGACAGTGCCCCTGTGCCACCCGTGGGCCACCTGGGGAGCACCTGAGTGTCACCACTGTCAGCAGGGCTGGGAACTGCTTGTACTTTGCTCTCCTCTGTGCTGTGAAGGAAGCTGTGAGGCAGCAGGCAGAGCAATGAAGGGCCTGTTTTGGTTTCAAAGCCAAACCTTGCCCCCATCCAGAGCCTCTGTTGGGGCTTGCTGAGCGTGGTCAACACCACATCCTGTTGCAGAGCTCTGAAGATGTTTCACTTTCATCAGCACTGGTGAATCATCACCCAGAGAAGGAGCATCTACCTGCTCCCTCCCCCTCAGCTTCTGCCAAACTGCRCTGAGGCTTTGGGGATTGTTTTTAAGAAGCTTTTCTGCTCAGAGTCCTGCTGCTCTTCAGGCAGGGGTGGAGAGGGAAATGCCTCCATGCYTGGGAGTGCTCCCAGCTCCACCTGTGTTAGTGGGTGGCACTGAGCTCTGGCCTCTCCAGCAGCCCCAAAGCCATGTCCAGGCACTGGCAGACACCCACTGTGTCCAGCTGGGAACTTCTGACCCCATGGGGATGTCTGATCACAGCAGCAGTGCTCACACAGTGCCCRTGTCCTGGCATTGTCCCTCCCCTAAACCCAGCCTGCAGGGTGCTCTGGTTCTCTGAACACCTCTGTGCTGGTCAGAGGCTCTGCAGGAGGATCCCTGCCCACAGACAGCCTTGCTTTGGTCAAACCACCCCTGAGGGGGACACGGGCAGCATGGGGGGCTTCAATGCAGCCTCTCCAACACGTACAGGTTGACCTCTCCTTTCTTTGGTCAAACCTCTTCGACAAAGAAAGCACCAGATGAAGCTGGACCAAGAAAACTTGGTGGAGTTTCTGGTCCATGGTGCAGGTGGAGGTGCTTGGAACGCCTCCTCGTGTTGATCCTCCCCGCCAGGGATCCCTGCTGGGCTGGATTTCTCCCCCCAGAAGCACAAGGCTGTGGATRGTGGCCAGGCTGCAGGAGGGACCTGACACAGCATCCCCGGGGCTGAGTCCCTCACAGACCACTGCTGGATCTGCCATCCAGAGATGTGGCTTGYCCTACAGAGTGGGGTGACAAAGCCCCAGCCCAGCCCCCCCTGCCCAGGGGGCTCCTGATCAGCCCTCGGAGGGGTGGGAGGAGCTGTTGCAGCAGGGTCTGAGCCTGCTGCCTTTCCCTTCAGCATGAGCCCTTTTCCCTGAGCTCTTCCCTGGCTGCCCAGCTCTCACCCCTGGTCTCAGTGGTGTCAGAGGCCCAGGAGCCACTGGCAGTGATCCCACAGCAAAGCCCCTTTCCCCATATGGGAGCAGCGGCTTGTGGCAGCTCTGACCAGTGCCCGGTCAATGACAATACCATCAATTAAAGGAGTTCAGTGAGCAATTCACCGCAAAATGTTCTCCCTTTGATGTGTTCTTGTCTCTAACTGGCCCGGAAAGTTCAATTAAGCCTTTGCAATCCCCTTTGCAGTCTYTCTCTCTCTCCTCTTTGCTGTGTGAGCCAGAGCACCGCCAGAATGAAAGGGGTTTTGCTGCTGGCAGCGATGTTCCCYGCGGCTCTTTGATGGGGGAAAGCGGCTCCAACACCCGACAATGTTTGATGGCGTCCTCTGGTGCTCCTTCAAAACTCAGCAGCCGTGGGCCAGCTCGTGCAGAGGCCTCTCACCAGGAGCACAAAGCAGCACAAGGAATAATGCAGGTGCTGTGATTTTTTTTTCTGGTTCCGGCAGCAAAGTTCCAGWTGCAGCTCCAGGACTGCACGGGGCTGCTGGAGGCTCTCAGCAGAGCAGTCTGAAGGGTAGGGGCCAGCCAAAGCCGTGCTCCATAACCCCTCCAGAGATCCAGGTGTGTCCAGGATGTGACCCAGCTCATTCCAAGGCTGCTGGCTGTGAATCATCTCCTGGAAGTGCCTGAGGTGTSAATCCTGCACATCCTGGGGGTGCAGCTGTTGCCTGGCCAGCATCAAGCAGGGACAATGTCCCACCAGCAGCCAGAGGAGCAGTGATTCAGGTTTGTGGCTCCCTGCCATGCCTGTGTCCCAGGAACACCGGGATAAGAGGCTGGAGGGCGGGAGGCTGCCCAGACAAACTGATAAATAGAACCTGCAAGCCCCAAGGAGAGAAACAGGGATTTTTCTTGGCAATAATGTGGCATTAACACCTATTTTTTGGCTTACTGTAGTCCAAAAGCCCAGCCCAGGGGAAAATCCTCCCATTTAAGGATGTCTGATCAATACTGATACGTTCTTCCAGCAGCTCCAACCCCACCATCCCCACATCCCACCTGTTAGCAGTGTCCCTGCCCAAAACCCACCAGTGCCTGGGAGCTACAAGCACCGTGCTGGAAGGTCCCTGACCACGTGCACAGACATTCCTGTYCCAGACAGCCACTTGGGGGTTTCACTGTGTCCATCCTGTCCCAGGGTCCCAGCTCCCAACACCAACACCAGAGAACACGGACCTGGATGTAGCTGTCGCTGCTCACCTCTGGCTCTAATTCTGTACGTGCAATTTCACTCCTGGAACTCCACTATGACCAAAGCAGCATCCAGGGGATCTGGGATGAAGGGACAGTGCTGAGGTGGCCACAGCATGAAGCTGTGGAGAYAACAGGTATTTACTGCCTCCCAGATTGTCCTCCTGCCCCAGACAGATCCATCACCCTGAGCCTTGGGATCCTGCCAAGGCCGGGAGCTGTCCCAGCAGCACCGGGACTGCATCTTGTGACACTCAGCAGCCTGGAATCTGTGCTTGTTCCCCTGCAGGGGCTCCTGGGCAGATCGAGTGGGCTGGGTGGCACCTCGAATGGGACTTACAGGCTCACAGAGCCCCGGGGACCCGACCTGCTGTGCTGGGCTGAGCGTGGCTGAGGGTGCCAAGGTTAGACAGGCACCAAAGTGCTGGGCAAGAGCTCCTGGGTGGCTGCAGGCCAGGGAAACATCCCAAAATGGACTGATCTGCGGTATTTAGATAAAGCTAAAGTTTAGCTTTTTATATGAGCTAAAAATCACATCATTACCCAGCGCCTGCAGGAGGTTGGAGCTGCCCATTGCAGCTCAGCTCCGTGTCCCTAACACAGGAAAGCTCAGCCCACATGTCCCCACCGTGGTGTTTCTCCGTGCAGCCGGACCCTCTGCGGTTTGGGGTGAGGGAGCCCCGGCAGCTCAGCCCCGTCCGAGAGCTGCTGTCCCTGCCCCGGACACGGAGCGGACAGACCCCGGCCCCGCCACTTCCTGGCGTGCYGGGCTCCTTTCCCCGCACACCCTGGGGGTTTTAGTTATTCTCCTGCCACGTGTCCATCCTGAACTGATCCCGCCTCGGAGGTCAGGGAGCTGCATCAAAACATTTCCCAAGCCAGCACCTCCAGCTGCTCCCCCYCACCAGAGCAAATCCCAAAGCCAGGATGGAGGCTGCCACCTTTTGGCGGAATCGAAGAGCTTTCACATCATTAATTCCTGTTAATTAAACGAAGCAATATCTTCTGCATTATTACTCAGTTATGACGCTTGCAGACTGGCAAGTAACTCAATTATCTAAGTTTACATGTGACTTACATTTTTTGGTCTGGATTYAATGCCAGCTAAATTTATTACCCAATCTATTTTATGTCAAACCTAATCTCTTCCAGGTTTGGGTGTTGGTTTTTTGTTTCCTTAAACATCAACCCCAGTAATAGGGCCCAGACACAGCAGGGGTGTGACACAGGAGGCGAGGAGCCATGAAGGGCCCCTGGGCTGGATGCCAGCAGTGCCAACCCCAAATCCCACCAGAAAAAAAAAAAGAAAAAAAAAAAGAAAAAATCAATCTGTGGGTGATTCCAAGCAGCTATAAATGAAGCTAATTTTGGAGAGGAGGTCCCTCACAAGCTGCAGGATGAAGGCTGATGTATTTCCTGAGCCAGCTGTGCCTGAGGATGCTTTACCACAGATGTGCAAACAGCTGRTTGAAACGCAGATCCTCCCAGCAAACAACTTCTGCCCTTCCCACCCCTGAGATTCCTGATCTCAGGATATCAGCATGAAAATCAGCAGGAGCTGCTGCCAGCCCGTCTCTGTCACACCCGCGGCCCCGGGGCTGCAGGGATGCTGACGGGTGTGGTACCGCTCCTGCGACCTCTGGGGTTTGGTCAGAAGAGCTTTCTGGGGCTGCAGAGCACCCCACACAGCAGCAACGGGATATCCTGAGTGCAAGATGTCCAAGGACACCTGGGAGCCCCTGGATAACCCATGGGGTGGCCAAACCCTGGGTGCTGTGGCATCCCTGTGGGTGACAGCAGCCAGCCTGTGCTCCAGCAGGTCCTGTCCCCATATTTATGGGACACACAGTGCCCATCAGTGCCTAAATAACAGCAGGATTTTAAGCTGATGCCCTGAGGCAGCCCAGTGTGCCCGGGCTCCGTGCCCACCTGGGTGCAGGGCTGAGCTCCAGCACCCTGCCCTGCTCCTGTGACACCCCAGCTCCCTGCCCCACTCYTTGGAGCAGTTTTACCAGTGCCACAGGTGAGTGTGTCACTAATCTCATCCTTTTCTATTTGTTAAACTCATCTTGGAGTTTATTTTGGACGGCTTGGAAGTTAATTAGTTCTGCTAATGACATTAAGAGGGGTCACACAAGGCTTTGGGCCAGCAGGGCAACCTGGCTGTGGCTGTCTTCGTGCCCAGGCAGCTACAGGCAAGGGGACAGAATTGGTGACAAGTTCCAGGTCCCCTGTGAGGTTCCACGCTCGTCTCCATCCCTCAGGGTTCCATCCTCCCCTGCCAGCACGGTGGCCACATGTCACACTGCCACCATTTCACGTGGCTATCACAGCACGAGCTCTGCAGATCTTGTCCCCACACGGGAGAGCCGAGTGACACCTCCCTTTCTCCCCACAGCCCTCCCGAGCCCCACCAAGCCCCTACCTTGGCCTCGTTCCCCCTTGCCCGGGTCCGTGTGGGAGCAGGAGAGCGGAGAGGGCATCCTGGTGCCTCGCTCAGCTCTTTATCGCCAGGGCTTTGCTTGCTCCCGATGGATGCTCAAGTTGAAGGTAGAAGCCACCCTTCCCCTTGGTGGCCGCGGCGATGCTCGGGCAGCMCCTGGGGAGGGTGGGTCAGTGTTCCCCCGCCGCCGCCCGCCGGTCCCAGCCCGGTGCCTTTTCTCTTTTTCAGTTCGCTCCTCGCCCCTTCCTGCCCCGGGTCTCGCCGATCTTCCTTCCTGTCGGAGCRGGGCTGATCTCTATGCAAATCGAGGTGAGGGATCCGCCAAACCCCAGCAGCGTCCGACCCCCGGCAGCCACGGCCGGGGCTGCCCTCCCTGTCCTATCCTGCTGGGTGCTGATGCTTTCTCCCAAAACCCACAAAACCAGGCTCCACAGCATCCAAKCTACCRTGAATTGCCTTGAAACAAAACCACKAGTTCACCCYGGCCTGGGTTTTGCTACAGAACCCCCTCCCTGGCCAGGAACGCTGGGAATATCCCATGGAAAAGGCTGGAGTCACAGCAGCTCTGCCCTTCTCTGGGCTGAGCAAAGAAATAATTCCGTGAGTAATTTCAAGCTGTGTCTTGAAAGAGCAGAATAAAAAGGTGGGAATAGCCTCCCTTTCCTCCAAATCCTTTTCCCTGATGCTAAATGCTTCCTGGATTTATCTCCAAAGAGCTGAATCCCATCCCACCAAGGGATGGGAGCCACCAGAGCAGCAGGACTGGCAGGATCTCCCCTCCCCAGTTCTGCACAGGCAGGTGGGGTCAGACATTATTTTCCACTTTTGTTCTACAAAACCTTCAATTTGTAAATCCTATAAAAATTTCACTGGCATTTAGGGAAATGGTGGTATAAAGGAGCTCTGGTGGTGGAGAACTGGTGGGGTCAGGGTGGGCTTATGGCCACTGAACTGTGTTTGGGGAGGGGAGGTGGGGGCCAAGCAGGAATTGGGACCTCCAGCCATTAATTCGGGCTGTGTCTCCCACAGCCTCGCACTCTCCCTGCCCAGAGCTGTGCCCAGTAAGGGGTTAAAACCTTTCCTCTGGTGAGTTTTAGGTCTGTTGATAATTTCCCACTCAGGAGGGTGGTTTCAGGGGGGGCTGACACTCGGGAAATCCCAGCAGCCATCACCTTCCCGAAAATCTGTAGCTAAAATCCCTCACATCCAAAATGACTGTGCAGAAACCCCAACTGAGGCTGTACCTCCTGCTTTCACAATTAATCATTTATCTTAATTAACGCATCTGAAATATTTCTTTGCCACTATGTATGACACATCCCTCATGCATTTTCTGGGCTGTTTACGGGATTCAACCCCAAATTTAGCAATGCATTTACTAAACTAAACCTACGGAGTTCCCGGCTGGGTGGGTTTGACCGCAGCACCTCTGGAGCTCGCAAGGGAGGTGAGAAAATGCCCTGTGGTGACTCTGTTTGTTGATTCGTGCTGTTGCTTGGCAAGAGGGTGCTGGGGACAGATCTCCGGCTCAGTCCAGCACAGAGTCACCTGCCTGGGGACAAGGAACCTGGAGATAACAAACGGTCCCAGCTCCGGAAGCTGCTGGGTGCTCCTGGGGAACAGCCAGGCTTCCACACAAAGGAAACGGGGAAAGACCTACTGGAGACCCCTCCTGCTAGAGSAGTGCAGGAGTCTGTGAGGCTCGGGGGGTGCTCGGGGTGGAAGGGACACAGTCCCCAACCAACTCTCAGAGGGTGACACGCTGGCTTTCGGGTATTGAG